CAGGACGCGGCGCCCGGGGTCTGGCTGGGCTCCTCGGCGCTTCCGAGTTTCCCACATTTGGTACAATGGGCACGAGTGGACCCTTAAAGCCGACTTTTTATTTTGGAAGAGTTTTAGATGAGAAACGGTGAATCATAGTGAGAGTTCCCTGTGTCCTGTTCCCCTCCTGTCAGCGTCCCCCAGGGTACAGAGGTTTGTCCCAAGCGATGACCACAGTGGATACAGGTTGTTAGCCAGGGTCCAGGTGTCGGCCACAACCTCCCGGCTCTTTCTGGCCTCCTTTCCTTCCAGGGTCCCCAGAGGGGCCCACCAGGATGGGGCGCGCGGCTGGCACACACTCCCACTTCCTCTGGGCCAGGGCGGGTCTTGTTCCTCCTGGTCCTCGATGACCTTGGCTCTGAGGAGCACTGGCGGGCACTTCCTTGACTTGCCTCGACACGGACTGGCCTGGTGGCTCGCTCACGATGGGCCCAGGGTACCGTGCTTTTGGGAGGAGACCACAGGTGTGAAGAGCCATCAGTGCCTCACACCAAGGGGACGTGTGACGGTGACCTTGACCGCCTGGCCGAGGCAGTGCCGTCAGCTGTCTCCTCCCGTTCCATGCTGCGAGCGTGGGGAGAGGGTCGCTGTGGCCCACCTCGAGGAGCAGGGGCTGGGCTCGGCCTCCTGGAAGGCCAAGAAGCCATGCCCAGCCCCTGGGATCCCACGGTGCCTGTCCTCCCCACTTGTTATACACATTAGTGGCTTCTTTGTCGGTGTCGGTGGGGACAGGGTGTTTACGTTAGACTCTGGGTGGCAATCCATCCGTTCTGCTTTGCTGCTCAAGTTCTTGGCTTCTTAAACTGGGAAGAACAGTCAGCAGCCTGTTGTTTTAAGGGGAGTCCAATGCTCTGCCACCCCAGGAGCCCCGCCCAGGCCAGGGGACAGGCCCGGCTCCTTCTCGGCCTCTGCCCTCAAGGATTCCAGTCTGCCAGGGACAGCTGTGGAGTGGCCAGGGACAGTAGAGGGGCAGATGTGTGGGGATTCAGGAGAGGCTTCCGGAGGAGGCCTGGGTGCCGGGGAGGAGCAGGGCTTTGCCTGGGTGCCGGGACAGGGCGCACGGGCGGAGGCAGGGTCTGAGCGGAGGCCTGGTGGTGGACAAGAGGCTGTGGGGTGCTGGAGGAGCCAGGATGTCGGCCAGGCTGGCTGCAGAGGGACAGCCACCAGGTGTGGGAGGAGCGTGAGACACCCTGTCCCTCATGCCTGGGGCTTGGCAGCCAGCAGGAAGGGTCTGCTCCTCTTACGGGGGAAGACGCAGGCCCAGTAGGGCCTGACTTGCTCCAGCCACACAGGGGACGTGGGGGCCAGTTGCCTGCTCCAGGCCACTGTTGCCCACACACATGTGTGGCCTGAGCCGCAAGCCGGGGAGTGGACAAAAGAGATCTTTGGCCCTCCTGTGGCGGGAACCTGGCTGTTGGGAGGGCCCTC